ACATGAATTCTACCTGGTCATGGTGTATGATCTTCTTGATGATTTGCTATATTCTATTTGCCAGGATTTTATTGAGGATTTTGGCATCTATGTTCATGAGAAAGACTGGCCTGTAGTTCTCTTTCTTAGTTGCGTCTTTCCCTGGTTTTGGTATCAGTATAATACTTCCCTCCAGGAATGATTTTGGGAGGATTGCTTCCTTTTCAATTTCATGGAAGAGTTTGAGGGTTAGAGGGACTACATCTTCTGTAAATTTCTTGCAGATTTCAGTTGTGAATCTCATCCAGGGATGACTTTTCTTTGTCAGTAAGTTTTTTATTACAACTTGTATTTCATTGGCTGTTATTGTACTATTGAGAGTGGTTATATCTTGTCAATTCAGCTTTGGTAATTTGTACCTTTCTAGGAATCTGTGCATTTGTTCTGTGTCTTCTATTCTGTGAGAGTAAAGATTCTCAAAGTAGCTATTGATAATCTTCTGAATTTCCACTGAGTCTGTGGTAATTACCCCCTTTTCATTCATTACTGCTTGCATTTGAATTTTTTCTTTCCTCTTTTTGATGAGGTTAGCTAGGGGCTTATTGATTTTATTTAATCTTTCAAAGAACCAGCTTTTTGTTTCGTTAATTCTTTGAAATGCTTTCTTCATCTCAATTACATTAATTTCTGCTTTAATCTTTATGATTTCTTCCCGTCTTTGGGCTCTGGGTTTGGTTTGCTCTTCCTTCTCTTGTTGTTGAAGGTGCAGCAATAGGGTGTTTATTTGTTCCCATTCTGTTTTCCTAATGTGTGAGTTCACAGCTATGAATTTCCCTCTGAGAACTACTTTCATCGTGTCCCATAAATTCCAAAAAGTCATTCTTGAATTTTCATTGAATTGTACATATTGTTGAATTTCTTGTTTAATTTCATCTGTGACCCATTGGTTGCTGAGTAGGGTGTCATTTAATTTTCATGTATTTAGGATTTTTTTCTGGTTTCTTTCGCCATTTATTTCCAGTTTTATTGCATTGTGGTCAGATAATATGCATGGGATAATTTCTGTTTTCTTGCATAGACTTAAGCATGACCTGTGGACCAGTATGTGGTCTATTTTAGAAAATGACCCATGTGCAGCTGAGAAAAATGTGTATTCATCTCTGTTTGGGTGGAACGCTGTGTATATGTCCACCAAGTCCATTTGTTTCAAACTCTGGTTCAGTTCTGTTATTTCTTTGCTAAGTTTTTGTCTGGTTGACCTATCTTTTGGGGATAAGGGGTGTTAAGGTCTCCTGTTAAGATTGTGGTACTGGATATTAGATTTTTCATGTCCATTAAGATTTGCTTTATATAGTTGGGTGCTCCCATGTTTGGTGCATACATATTTATGAGTGTTACCTCTTTCTCTTGAATTTTTTGCCTAACCAGTATATAGCGGCCTTCTTTATTTCGCTTGATCATTCTTGGTTTGAAGTTGAGACTCTCTGAGAATAGGATTGCTACCCCTGCTTTTTTCTGAGGTGCTGGGGCATGTAGTGTGTTTTCCATCCTTTGACTTTCAGCCTATGTATGTCTTTTGGAGTTAGATATGTTTCTTGCATACAGCATATTGTTGAATTTTGTTTCCTAATCCACTGTGCCAGTCTATTTCTTTTAATTGGTGAATTGAGTTTATTTACATTGATGGTTAGAACTGAGATGTATTGACTTATGATTGACATTTTATTTACCTGTTGTCATTTACTCTTTTTTCTACTGTGTTTAATTGTTTGCCCTATTTAGTAGGTATCTTCTGTTCTCGTTGGTGGAGTTCTGATCATTTTGGTCCTTCTCTATAACATCTTTCCGTAGTCTGTGCAGGGTTGGCTTTGTCATTATGAAATTCTTCAGTTGTTCTTTGTCATAGAAGTATTTCACTTCTCCATCAAACTTGAAACAGAGTTTTCAGGGTATAGTAGTCTGGGCTAGAATTTGTTTTCATAGAGGACTTGAAGTACTCTACTCCATGCTCTTCTTGCCTTCATGGTTTGTGAAGAGAAGTCAGCTGTAATTCTGATGGGTTTTCCTTTGAATGTGATCTGTTTCTTTTCTCTAGCTGCTTTCAGTATATTATTCTTGAGCTGACTTTCTGGGATCTTGACTGTTATATGTCTGGGTGTGTCTTTAATTGGGTTTAGGTTACTTGGCATTCTGTATCCTTCAGTTCTTTGAATGTCAGATTGTTTCCTCATATTTGAGAAGTTTTCTGCTATTATTTCTGCCCATATTTTTTAATGTCATTTGTATTGACTGCTTCTTTCTCATTGATGCCTATTAGTCTTACATTGTTCATCTTTGCATCATGTTGAAGGTGATGGATTATTTTTTCCTGCATCCTAGTTATTTTTAAGAGTTCATTCCTTACCTTTTTACTGGCTGCACCAGCGTGTTCAAGATCTAAAACTCTGCCTTCACTTTCACTTAAATGGTTTTGCAAGCTTGTGACTGAGATTTTAAGTTCCTCTATATCTCTTTGACTCTGCTTTGTGCTATCTATTTCTTTCCTGTATTGCTCATTCAAGGAATCTGTCATTTTCTAATCTCCTCTATTTTTTTTTCTCAGTGTCTTCTTTAGAAGCAGTTATTAGTTCTCTTGCTGCAGTGTTTTCTTCAGATTGGGTTTCCTCCCTATGTTTCTGTAGTTTATTCTTTACTTCAGAAGTTATGAGTTCAGAGAATTCTTTTTTTATTTCAGAAAAGAATTCCTCTCTGAGTTACTCTATAACTTTCTGCTGTTGCTTATTTACTATCGACACTATTAATTCATACATTTGAGCTGAACTAGTAGAAAAGAATTCAGCTCTGAGTTCCTCTACGACTTTCTGGTGTTGCTTATTTACTATTGAAACTATTAATTCATACATTCAGCTGAACTAGTGTCCTCTGCTTTTATTCTGGGTGGGTATTGGGTTTCCTCCATATGTTTCTGTGTCTGATTCTCTACTGCAGATGTTATTAATTCAGGGATTTCTTTTTTCATTTCCAATCTGAGTTCCTGTATAGCTTTTTGCAGTTGTTTCTTTATCTCAGAAGCTGTTGATTCATTGATTTCAGCTGTGTGATCCTCAATTTGTTCTGTTTTAGTGTCCTCTGCACTTGTTATGAGTGGGCTTGGGGTCTGAGATTGCATTTTACTCCTCGTTTCCATTTTGTGTAGCACTCCCTGTCTTCTGACCTTTGTTGTAGAGCTTTGGTGCAGTTATAACCTTAGTACTTACTGAAATTCAGGTGCAGATCTATAAAGTTTGGATTTATCCAGCTGTGCCTGGCTTGGGTCTCACTGCTGTGCTCAGCTCCTTCCTGCTGTCACCCTTGGGAGTGATCCTGTTGTGCCCCTTTGGCAGGATGTTCTGCTCCTGGACTAACTGGGTGGATTTGTCCCCTACACTCTCTGCAGGGATTGCAGCTGCAGAGTTTCACTGCATGCCTGTAGTGTAGACCTAAGCTGAGTCTGGAGGGGACAAGGTGGAGTAGGGTGGATATAAAGCTCTCCCATACACTTACCGGGCCTGGGCTAGGGCTGGATCTGGGGGTCCCCAGGACACGGCAGAAAGTCTTACTGGGCGGGCGCAGTGGGAGGTGCAGTGGAATGGTGGTTGGGGGTCCCAAGCGGGTGGAAAAGTGTCTCACCCACGCTTTGCCTGGGCTGGGACTGGTAGGTCCCGCTGGCGCAGGGTCGCAGGAAGCTCTCCCACACACTCACCAGGGCCTGAGCTAGCACTGTATTCTGGCTTCTGATACACCAAGGAGTCATAGACTGAGAAAATGATAGCTGGAGACTCAGGGGAGCAGACTGTTGGTTTGTACTACTAGATTGGAGTCCAGGAGGCACAGGGAGCCAGAGAGAGCACTGAGACATCTTTCATATTGCCATTTATGCTGCTTTCTGCAACTTAATGGCTTTTCAGTGAACCAAAATGAAAATATCACCTATCTTTGGGCAATATACGGCAGATTCCTGAGGAATGGGAAATTTCAGAGTGTCCAGAAGCATAGACAGGTGATCAGTTAACCCAAATGATGGAAATAATGCAATGATTGTGCAGCTTTTGTGAAGAACACTTTAAATTCTTTTTTAATTTTTGTTTTTTATGTATTTAGTACGGAGTGTAAAGGGTCTTACTCCCAGATCAGACTTGTAGTGATCCTCCTGTTTTCTGCTTCCCAAGTTCTGGGATTACAGCCACTCTCCACCACTCCCAGTTTCAGCATGATATGGGGGAAGAGCCAGCATGGTATGCTGAGGATTGAACCCCAGTCCCTGCGCCTGCCCAAGCAGGTGCTTTAGTAAACTGAGATACCTGGCCTTAAATTCTATCTTGAATATTTGCCTATAGAAAGCACCTAAAATTATAACAATTACATAAACAATGGAGACATTAAACACTCAATTTTTCAAAAAAGATTTCAATGTCCATATTCCAGAAGATGTCAACATAAAGGCTCAAGCAGAGATGCTATTTGTTGGTGTATAAATCATTTTTGTAGTGGCTCTCCACTACAAGGATGACTTCATATTCACTCCATATATATTTAAATGGGAGGGGGTCAGCAAAATTAGACTAAGCTGCAAATGATGACAATCGCATGTAGTGTTTGTTTTCAGAAAGGGCCAAATTCTAACACACGTTTTCGCTCTTTCTCTAGTATGATCTTTAAACAACAGTCTTCTCACCTACATAGGGGGATGATAGAAGGGGCTGCTGGGATAGTTAAGTGAGATAATGCATGATGAGGTATATATCCAGCAACTGATATATACATTAATCGCTTCAAAAATACCCAAATAACCACAGAAATAGGAGCAACAATAAAATCAACCAAAGCATTAGCAATAGACTCTATTGAGCTTGCGTAGTTAGGAGAAGCGTACCTCAGAGACCCTTGTCCAAGCCAGAGGAGATTGCCAGGCCCAGGCGTGGCTAAAACTACATTTCCCAGCAGGCCTCGGGGTAGCGAGAGCTTCTCCCGCTTCCGGGTCTGTCATGTGACTCCCTGCAGCACCATGGAGGAAGCAGAAGAACAGGTAAAGGCTGACAGTGTTACTTAGGAGACTGGGAACTGGCAACCTCCAGCCAGGAGGTTGGGGGCACAGAGGTTGTGTGCGCGCGAGGGGTGGGGTAAGGGAACCTGGAAGGAACGGCGGGAGCTTCTTCCGGGGTAGCGCGGGCCGAAGTCTGTCCCCCGAGGAGGATGCGGGATAGCTCCCCAACACAGCCAGCATTTGCTGGGTTCTCTTTGCTTTTCTTGAGCCGTTCTCTGTGGCCTGTGCTCAGTGAAATTTGGCGAAAGCCCGCCAGTCTGCCCCAAGAATTGACTTCCTCTGGGAGGGTGGGTGACTGACGTTTAAGTTGTTTTTACCAGGAAGTAGAACAGTGAGAGGAGGGAGCGTGAATTTTGTTTTCTATATCTTGGGTTTAAGGCAGAGAGCGAAGTAAGGCACTTTTGGCCGTCCAAGAGGGATTTTACCAGCGGTATTTCCACATCTGAAATGCGTAGGCACTACAGCAGGTTTCCTTTCTTATCTTGAGGTTGCCAGGCAGGAGCTTATACCCCAGAGCTATATCCCCAGCCCAAAATGTGTAACTTTGGAGTGTTTACTTCCAAACATTGGATGGCGATCATTACACAGCCCTCACTGTGGATTAAGATGGAAAGGGTTATAGGTAGCCAGCAAGACATCGAGTGGCTGTGTCTCATCATCTGGTGACCTGGCCGTGGAGTTTTGAGTAGAAATTAATGATGAAAATATGATTTGCTTTCATATCACAGTAATGGTAGCCACACATGAGATGAAAGGACAAAATAAAATAAAAATGATAGAGAAGATAACTTAGGCCAGATTTGTGGGAAAGATTACTTAGTTCTCCATTTCTAGAATCAGTTCACTTTGATACTCCTCTGTTTCCTCTCAAGTTAACAGGGCTCTCAGTTGCTGTGGTTGCTTCTAGGAAATGAAAAAGAAAAAAAATATATGTGTGTGTATACATATTATATATACATATATACACATTTATATACATATATAGGTATATACTGAGCTATTTATTATCAGAAGAGACATTAATCTACTTCAGTAGTCTAACATTTGCATCAGACTTTAGTCTCATTTCATAATGCACATCTGCCCTTGGTGTATCTAATGTATGCTGGTGATTTAAAAAGTTGACTTAGTAATTGTGGTAACAAGAGAATCTCTTAACTAAGTTTTATGCCTCCATTTTTGATCCTGGGCAGACACAGGAAAACAGTTATTAAGAACGTGTCATTTTGTGACCGATTGGTCCATTGATTAGTGGTGAGGCTTTTATTTCATGTTGTTCATTTTAAGTTGAAATATGATTGTTCATGGTTTTACATAAAAGCAGAAAGCCATATTCCTTGAGTTCTTAGATACAGAGTAATAGAACTACCTTAGAACTAAGAGAATTGCCCTTTAATTTACCATGCTGTTCCACAAGAGTTTGGCAGAGCTATCTTGATGGAAAAGAACAAACAAAAGCAGAAAATTTGGGATATAATGAAAATGTTATGCAGTCCTACTGTATTTAGTCCTTCCAAAAGAATTCTAGGAAGTCAGAATTCTGTTACTTAAGTGAGATGAAATATTTTCTGAGTTCCAAACCTTCCAGTGACTTTCCAAGCCAGTGCTCTTGCAGTAGCCTAGCTGCCCTGCAGGATCCTGTTGCATGTACCCCTCACCACCCTTTCCTGATTTCGTTTTCCACTACACTACTTGTATTTTTCTGAAACTCTGCATCCACCAATGGCTTTCTTACTGTTCCGCCACCGAGCCAAACATGTTCCTTCCTCATGGGCTTTGCTGCTGCTTCCTTTTCAGACTTCTCTGTCTTCAGGGCTTTTTCCTCACTTCCTCTGACTAAGTATTCTTTCTTTATTTTTGTAGTTTAGGGAAGGGTCTACAGGGTGTTCAGGGTCTCACTGCTAGATCGGACTCATAATGATCCACCTGTTTACAGCCTCCAAAGAGCTGGGATTACAGGTGCGCACCACCATGCCCAGTCTCATTTGTAATCTTAGCATGCCCTGGGTGTGGGCGGGAATGGCAGGCCCAGGGATTGAACCCCCAGCCCCTGTGCCTTTAATCCGCTGAGCTATATGGCCAGCCCCTCTATATCCATTTTGACTGAGACTTTCCTAATCATTCTTTGAAATCCTCCTTTTGCATTCTTTTTTCAGAATATTGCTCATGATCGTTTGACAGATTATGTTCCTCAATTTCTGTTTTTTTTTTTTTTTTTTTTTTT